TATATATATATATATATATATATATATATATATATATATATATATATATTAAGCAGAATCAGAAAGTTTCATGAACTTTATTTAATTAATTTTCAAAACAGATTTGTTCCTGTTGACAGTTTCAGATATTTTTTTGTTCTCATCAAACCTCAATTTGTTGTTTCGTTTTTTGTAATTATGCTGTTATTAATATTATTATTATTAGTTAAATACATTGCATGGATAAGCCACAACATTTAAATCACTTTCCTTGGAATTATAGAAACATTTTGCCCTCTTTTTGCAATATTCCTCTTTGATGTCATAGCAACTAATTTTGTATCTGGTATGTCCTAATCAAGGCATTATTAAGTAATCAGTCTAGACTAAACTCATCTATAAGTCAGCAGACTTAGATTCATCACCAGACTGTGATTTTAGGCCAACCCCATCCATAGCTTTTAAAGCTACACTGTACATTTCAAACATCATATAGCTTAATTTGAGATATGTTAAGTATTCTTTAAGTTGTAGGCTGCCCCACCCATCACTGAATGAGTCAAGTGCTCCAGAGCTCAACCTTATGGCAGGTTGAGCACGATAACTAGCTATGCTAAAAGTTGTTAGCCAACAAAACAGATTTGAGACGTATATAAACAGACAAATTTTTGGTTCTCTGATTTATGATTGAATTAGCCTGGCCAGCCGGACTAATTTATCCCATGTACATAGGTACATAGGGTATTAGTTTGGAGATGAGGGTATAAAGCCTAATATCTAAGGTGGGACTAATTGACTCAGTGGAAACAGTTAAGAACCAATCAGATAACTAAGGATATGATGTAAAATGTTTTGGGTTTTTTGAAAGAAAAGCACTTACAGCAGCTAGTTGTTGAATTTTTAATGATATACTGTAACCAACTATTTCAGGGCAAAATAGAGAGCATCAATAAATAATTGATCCATCACTGCTGAAATTTTGACTGTTAAGGGCTTTTGCTTTTTTGGCCCACCTTCTAAATTGATCCTTTTTGTTTTAAATCAGAGAGTATTGAGCATTAGCTGATTTATGCCCTGTGTTGGTAGTCTGAGTGGGCAGGCTAGGATTTAATCTACAGGGGTGAATGTTCTCAATCTGGTAGCCCAAACTGGTCAACCAAATGGAGGTTGGAGGTTGACAGTGCAGTTAAAGGGTTAAGGAAATTCCTTGGAGAAAGAAGAACTGCAGGGAAACCTCTTTCTGAACTTAACAAGCCAACATACAGTAGAAGGGCCTGTGCCAAAACCATACATGTCCCCTATTATTTGCTTTAAAAATGCTGCACATAGACTCCTCTGGCTTGCCATTGGAAATAGAACATTGCAAAATCTCATTGACTGAACTACTTTGGACAGATTAACTTTGAAACTGTAAACAACGCACTCCTGAACAGAACCGCAGTACTCGGGATCTCTATTTTAGTTTTCATCAGTTTCTGTGGGGTGTCATTTCTGTCTAATGAGAGCAATGGTCATTACACATGAAGCTTTAGCTATGTGTTATAGTTAATAAACAAAATGTAAAAAATGAAACCAAAACGTACATATTTAATTCTAAATCAAAATACAGGGCATCTGGTTTTCCACATGGGCCACCTGTTACTTGCAAGAACTGAAGGATGGGCTGTTATCATCTCAAGGTCAGGCACAACGTAAATTTCTCACAAAAGTGGCTTTCAAGTTGTGGCTGATTCATGAAATTGAGTGTAATACATGGTGCTATTATGTAAGTCCTCCTGGAGTATGATTTTTTTGTAAAAGGGATCTGGGGCATAGATTTTTCTATATATATTGTGAAACATTGTTTGATATTTTATCAATAAATCAACAAGCTGTTATGTTGTAACATCTTTTGCTCCAAGTTGATATTATCATACTTGTTTGGGAAAGTGATTCATGTGTTTTAATAAAAGTACATAATGTACATTTAAATTATTATGATCACATTACTTGGCTCTGTCTACTTTAGTAACTGTAGATGTGACAACGCATCACCTAAACTGAGTGACCTCTGTTTTTTCTCTCACTTCACAGTAGCTACATTTGACCTGGCATTTGGTTTAGCTGTGATCCTGCCCTGTTAATGGGTTGATCAGCTTGGCTGCTGTTGTAAAGTCCTGTCTTTTAGTGGTTAACTTGTCTCTCCTAGACATACGTAGCTATTGGCTAAGATACCTGTGAAGATCCTCATTCATCTAGGCCATGGTCAAGCTTGAAAAAGTTCAGTTTAGGCAACTGGACATGAAGTTTCTAGAAGACGTTACACCTCCTGTCCAAGAGGCTTCTTCAGTTCGTTAACCATTCTAACGAGGGAGTTAACGACCTATCAGAACCCCTGACGACCATTAACACCCCATGGGTAACCTCCTTGGCCACCTGCGGAGGGATCAGAACCACTCTCCCCCCTAATTCTTTTATACCTACAGTATATTAATCTCAGTGCTCCCCACCTCTAGTGAAAACTGAAGAGCCTGTTAGATGGGAGGCAAACCGTCTTCAAAGAAACTTCCCGTCCAGTTGCCTATACTGAACTTGTTCAAGCTATTGGCACAGCTTTAACTGAAAACACTGTATGTGCTCTCTTAAGCCCGCATCACACATTGACGAATTTGCCAGTGTATGCCTGATGTACGAAAAAAGCTGCCATACGTTGGATAAGTTATGGGTACGTTTTGTATAAGTTATGAGCATGCTGAAGCACGCTGGCACATGCTGGCTCACGTCGACATACAGCAAGTACGTATGCCAGCATATGCTCATGTGTGGGCCATAAGTTACAGGTAAGTTATCTGATCGTTGACATACGTTAAGTGTAAGTTACTCATAAGTCGTTGCGTCGAGGTAACCAGGACAATTTGTTTCCATTTTTGTTGACTTCAGTTTTATTTATTTTTATTTAAAGATTTATCTTTTAAAAAATCCTCCTTAATTCTCCTTCTTCTCCTTAATTTCTTTACCACAACAAAAAAGCCGTATGAGATAATTCTGTTCTCACATGGTTGTATGGTCACATGACCAGCTGCATGTCAAATTGACAGCTGCAGCTTATAAGGCTGATGAGTGGCAGCCCAGGTAGGAGACGCTGTCTGACGCTGATACAGATTCATCATTGTGAATTAAAACCTTCATCAGATCACAAGGTTTGACAAGTGTTGACTGGCAGGTTTCCATTTCAGAATTTTGTTCCAGGATCCTGTTCTAGGATCTCATTTCATAATTCGTCTCCAGGACTCTGAATGTCTGTTGGATCAGACTGGGGAGTTAGACCCATCCTAACTAGGACTGGTTGGATTCCTTGGATAAAGGAACACACCTTGGACTTCATGAATTGTCATGACAGATTTTTCTGTAAATATTGTAAATATTAATACAGATCACTAATTTTGCACCATTCTGTTTTCTCTGTGTGTTTACTGTATACAAAGTTACCACTTCCTCCAGCAGTCGAACTTAAGAATTCTTTCTGATTTAATTTGTTTTTCTTCAGTCATGCTAATATTCATAGAAGTAATATAGGTTACATCTAGCTTATCCAAAACCTATAAGTAACTTGTGCATAACTTATCCGTAACTTATCTCCAACGCATATTAACATATTTGACATGTTCCAGACGACCATTGAACGTGTTTCTAACTTACAGCTACTGTATAGTGGAGTATTGGCAGTGTTTTGGTATAAAAGGGGGTTCACAGGAGGAAACTGTCAGTACTCCTCCAGACTTCATCCCCATCATAGGGTGAGTGTGATGGATCCTCCCTTCGTTCACACTCATGGCCACAATCAACAATCTTCCTAGCAGACATGACGCTGAATTTGCTTTGACAGATATATATATATAACAGCAACTAGATTAATACTGTGATCAAAATCATACTCAAAGTGTTACTTTAACACTGCAACATTTACTGTATACCCATAAATGATGCACTCATTTAATGAGCATTACTGTACGCTACCATGCATTATGCATAAGTTAGGCTGTTGTTGGACATAAGTTCTGGACTCATTATGAATACGCTATGAATACGTATGTAGGAGTGCTTTTTTTGTAAGAAAAAAGCAAAAGCTCTTTCACAATTAGCTACTATAGTGGCCTCAACAGGGAGAGAAATACACTAAGCAGATGAACTCTGAGCCTCAAAGCGAAAGAGAGCGAATAAATAAATTATATTAATGATAATAACTTCACTTTATTGATCTCACATTGGAGAAATTTACCCCTGCGTTTAACCCATTCCCTTGGGGCGCAGTGGGCTGCTATTGTGCAGTGCCCGGAGAGCAGTGTGGGGTTAAGGGTCTTGCTCAGAGACCCAGAGTGGCAGTCTGTGGGCCTGGGGCTTGAACTCAAAACTTCAGGATTGCAAGCTCTATGCCCTAACTACTAGGTCAACACTCCCCTAACATACAGTTAACATCAATACAGTTGCGAGAGAGCATTAAATCTCTTGTAGTAACCCCACCTCAGACCAAGTCACAGCTGAACGGAACGCCAGGCCAAATGGAGCTACTATCAAGGGAAAAAAGTTTATGCAAATAACCCTAAATAACAAGCGTTAGAATAAAGATTTGATTCCTTGAAGACAGCCAGACATAACATTTCAGAGAATTACATGTTTATGTTAATTCATTCTAAACTCCTCTCCACTAAGTACTTCAATGAATGTCAAAGTTCAAGTATAAATTTAAATGTTGTTGCTTTTGTATCTACTTTTACCTTATGATTTTGTTTATCATTTCTTTGCAAGATACATCATTACCCAAACTTCAAAGTCCTGGCTACTGTGTTAAGACATTGCTGTAATTTTGCACCTTTAAAACATTGTTTCAGAATACATAATATACCATTCAGGATTTGAATGGCCTAAACATTTAGAAAATCTAAACTTTTCCTATAGATCAAAAAAGAAAACTAATTTCAGTAAATAAGATCAACTGTGAGATGCGAGAAGCGCTCTTAGA